ATGAACACAGATACAAAAATCCTCAAAAATACTAGCAAATAGAACACAGCAAATCTCCAAGAGGATTATACACCATGACCAACTGATATTCATCCAGGGATGTAGGGGTAAGTCAATGTATGTAAATCAATAAATGTAAAACACCATATCAACAGAGCCAAAAACAAAAATGACATGCTCATCTCAATAGATATAGAAGCTCTTATTAAAGTCCAAAACTCATTAATAATATTAAAAAACTATAGAAAATTGGAATAGTTGGCCTTTGCTGCAATCTGATAAAAAGCAATCTATGACAAGCCAATAGCCAACACCATGCTAAATAAACAAAATCTGAACTCTTTCACTGGAAAATCAGAAACAAGACAAAGATGTGCATTATCACAACTCCTATTCATTAAAGTTCAGGAAACATGAGCCAGAACAATTAGACAAGAGAAAAAAAATCAAAGGAGTAACAATAGAAAAGGAAGAAGTGAAATTGTCATTATTTGCAGCTGACATGATACTTTATATAGAAGACCCAAGACTCCACCAAAAGATTTCTAGGTTTAAATTCCAGTATCATATGGGATACAAAGTCAATACTCAGAAACCAATGGCAGTCCTGAACACAAAAAACTCAGTGAGAGAGAAATTAGGCAAAGCCATATCTTTCACAATAGCATCAAAATAGATGAACTACTGAGGAATCAATGTAAAAAAGAAAGGAAAAGATCTATATATTAAAAATTACAGCATTCTTTAAAAAAGAGATTGAAGGGGCCAGGGAGATAGTTCAGGGGAAGTAAGTGCTTCCCTGGCAAGCTCAAGGGCCTGAGTTCAATCCCCAGTTCCGCCAAAAAACAAACAAACAAGAAGAGATTGAAGAGGATTTCAGAAAATGGAAAGATATCCCTTGCTCACAGATGGGAAGAATCAAAATTGTGAAAATGTCCATGCTCCCAAAAGCGTTAGATAGATTCAGTGCAATCCCCGTCAAAATAATATTGGCATACCAAGGAAACATTCTTGAGATTCATCTGGAACCACAAGATCATAGAGCAGAAAAGGCAGTCCTGGACAACAAGGGCAAAGCAGGAGACGTCATAGTCTCTGAGCTGGTAAGATTCTGTAAAGCTACCATGATAAAAGCAACGCAGTACTGGCAAAAAGAAAACGACCTGAGGATCCGTGCAGCAGATTAGAAGATGCAGACACAACTATCAACACACCCAGCCCCTTTATCTCTGAAAAAGGTGCTGAGCATATTCGCTGGAAGAAAGATAGCCTCTTTAATAAATGGTGCTGGAAAAACTGGCTGAATTCACACACCTACAATATTTAAATGACAATGGAATACCCTTCTCTGAAACTGAACAGAAAAAGGGAGATATAAATGAAGGACCATTTTGTATCTGTATATACAAAATAGTTAGGATAGATTACAGCTACTTTCTCTTAATTCAGTAAGGGGAAGGATTTGCACTAAAAGTGTTTGGACAGGATATCATGTCTGCATCTTGTACTGTGAATAACTACTACAAAGACAACAATATGCAATGTATTAATTATTAAAACTGTCCTACTAATAGGTTTTGAAACTGTCTCATTGCTATTTGTTTCTCAATAAAATTAATTTTTAAAAACTGGCTTTCCACATGCTGAAGATGAAAATCAGCCACATGTCTATTACCATGCACTAAATGAAATCTACTGGAAGAGAGAGTAGGTAAAAATCTTTTTTTTTTTTGTATTTTAGGGGTCTTCAGGGTGCTCAGTCTCACTACTAGATCAGATGCACAGCAGTCTGCCTGTTTACAGCCTCCCAAGAACAGGGATTACAGGCGTGTGCCACCATGCCCAGTCTCAATTGCTGTCTCAGCATGCTCTGGGGTCAGGGCCGGCATGACAGGTCCGGGGATCGAACTCCTGGCCTCTGTGTCTGCTTGCAAGCACTTTAATCTGCGGAGCTATTTGGCCAGACCTAGGTAAAAATCTTGAAGACATAGAGGTAGGCAGACAATTCCTGAATGAAAAACAAACTGCATGGGAAAACTTCAAAGAATCAACAACTGACATCTCATCTTATTAAAACAGTTTTTCAGATCAAAAGAAATTACCAACAGAAAACCTATCAGTTGGGAAAAATGTTTCAGTTGACTGCCCCTAAGGCAGAGGACTTATCTAGAACATACAAAAACTTTTTAGAAGGCCAGGCCACTGGACAGTGAGATAGCTCAGTGGATGAGAGCACCTGCTTAGGCAAGCTTAGGCAAGCAAGGGACCACAGTGTGAGCCCTACCACCACATGCCATGCCAGCCTTGACCCTAGGGCAGGCTGAGCTGGACACACACACCCAAAATAAAGTCAGGCCCCCCAAATTCAAAGACGTCACCCAAAACTAAGCATCTGAGGTGTGTACATATTTCTTAGCTGAAAAAAATAGAAATGGTAAATAAATACATGGACAAATGTTCAGCATCATTAGTCATTCAAGAAATGAAAATTAGAGCAACACATCTCGCCCAAGAAGAATGGCTGTCATTAAGAAGTCATCAACAGCAACAGCAATGCTGGAGGGGCTGTGAAGAAAGGGCCTTCTCCACTGTTGGTGGGGGCAGACTGGCACAACCACTCCAGAAACCATGGCGAGTTCTCAGAAGCTAGGATGGGAGGTTACCTGTGACCCAGATTTGGGAGTTTTCCCAGAAGAATCGAAAACATCACACCGTAGCGATGTACGTGCACCCATGTTCACAGCAGCCCAATTTGTCACTCGGAAGCAACCTAAATGCCCATCGCCTGAGCAGTGGATAAAAAAAAATGAGACTGTCATATAATGAAATACTACTCAGCTAGAGACGTAGTCTTGAGGCTTTTATATGTAAATGGATCTAATTAAAAATCATATTCACCAATGAAGTAAATCAGACTCACAAGTGTGCACATCACATTGTCTCCCTCGTGTGAAAAACTGAAAGAATAAATGAGATCTGAAAGGTACACTAGTCATTGTGAAAGGGAAAGAAACTACTCAGAAAGGAAAGAATAATTGGGTTGCAGGGATGGAGAAAAGAAGGAAGGAATATATGATAACTAAAATAATTGTACTTCTATTTTCCGTTAATTGAAAGAATCAGTTGTACCGCATTTGGACTCAGGGCTTTGGGGCAGAACCTTGGCAGTGTCCAGGTGGTTAGTTCATTTGAAAGCAGGAAGAGCTTTGAAAAAAGCGCTAGACAGTGTGAGACAGACCCAAGAGAGAACCAGACACCGTGCTTCGACTTGCCTACGTTCATAAATTTCAGCGACAGTGTGGACGGTGATAGTTACCGAATGCACGTTAAATGGGCACTTACTGGTACGTGGTATGTTTCACTTGTACTCGTGTTTACCTGCAGGGTTCCTTGGCACAGATCAGCTTATTGAGCGAAAACACATTGATTGCTCTTTAATGGCTTATCTTTTGGGCATGGGATTTATATTCCTTTGTACATGATTATATTTACTGACAACTACTAAATTTTATTTTATAAAAATGATCTGAATTTTGTTTTGCTACTTCTGCTACTGTTCAGGAATAGTCTACATTAATATAATACTCTGGAAGTATAATGTATCATTAACTACTAGTGCTGATTAATATATTAACCTCATAAAGTATTAATGAAAATCATAATAAGCTACACTAAATCTGGTGTCTTTGATTTTGCGCATATATAAGATTGAAATAATTTCATGTGCTATCAGAGGAAATATATATATTATGTAGAAACACCAGTGAAAGTATGTTTGTGTACACTTACTTCCAAATTAAGATAGATAGTTCAGAATACGCAAGTTCAGTACTAACCACCAGGAACATATTAATAAAAGGAAGTCTGACCAGTTCAGTCAGCAAATATTTATGTGCACCCCTTGCTGCAATCTTCCACGGATGCGCAGATAGTCCTATTAAGTTTAAAGAAAGTTTGCAGGGAAAGTTTCACTTTTGCACTCAGTTGCCTTTCACCTTACAGATACTCTCAGCAGCTCAGCACTTTGGGGGACAGTCGCTTGGCACTAGCACTGCAAGGCTGTGCATCTTGCCGAGAGCACTGCGGCCGCCAAATGATGTAAGATGTCATTACGCGGGCGACACGGGACTGATCCGACCGGCGCAGCTAGAAAAAGAAGCTCTGCAGGCGCGGGCCAGAGAGGCTGGCTGCCGCGCTGGCCTGAGCACGCGCAGAAAGAGCAGGCGCGGGCAGGCAGGGTAGGCGCGGGGGGCTGCGCGGAAGGCCCCGGCCCGCATCCCAGCCCCAGCCACCTTCTGGGCTGCTCTTGCACTACTGCACGCACAAAAGTGAATTTGTGAAGCAGCGAGGTGAATTCCTGAAATGCCACAAACCTACATCTGTAATGGGAAAAGAACTAGGAGTCTGATTTAAATTATTACACTGATACTTTTCTAAGACCTTAAATTAATTTATTTTTAACTATAGAAATAGAACCTCAAAAATAGTCATAAAACTAATACATGAGTTTTCTATGAAGAAAGATTTTTAGCAAATATAGTTTAGGAAAATATATATTCTTCCAAATCTGCTGGTTTACTGAAAACCTTTATGTAAAGCCCCACAAAATTAAAATTTTATTTCACCCAGTGAACTCTAAAAATAAGAGAACAAGTTTAATTTTTGGCAATTACTTTATTCCTTAACATCTACATAAGTGGGTAAGGAACCAAAATAATCTACATGTTAAAGAGCTTATAGTTCCATTTAAAGTTATTTAAAAACACATGAGACATTTATTAAATTAGAGTCCGCTGAATTGAGATTAAGAAGAATTAGAATGTTTGCGTAATATCACAAGTGGGCTTGGGAGGGCCACGAAGTCCGAGGAGATGGCTCTAATGGCGTCACACAGCTTCACAAACTGGTCTCCTGCTAGAGATGTACGGGGCTCTAGGTTTTCGTTGTAAAACTGTCTGACAGTTTCATCTTGAACTTCTGCGTGTGCTTTGCTTCTTAAGGTCTGGGAATCGGGAACATGTTCTACGTTTTTTATGAAGATGGGATCAAAGTGATACAGCCCAAAGAGTGTGAGTTTCAGCGGCACATCAAGCCCAGCGAGAAGCTCCTCGGCCTTCAGGTAGGTGCTGAGCCTCCAGGTCCCTTCCTGGCTTCGAGGCGCAATGTTGCTAAGTGGAGCTGCCTTGTGGAAATCCAGAGAATCTGTGCACATGTGAAGCTGGTGTTAGAAAGGACATGGCGCTCCTGGGATAGAGTGTTAGCCCAGGAAGGTTTCATGTGTGAGAAGGAAAGCAGAGTAGCATCCTGGAGAGCTAGCTTGACGTTCCAAAGTGCCATGAACTCACTCAGCAGGCAATGGAGCCTCCTCAGCTAACCTCTCCATTTAAAAGGATGTCCGCTTTGTTGCGGTCACTGCTGTAGAAATGACGGTAACACGCAATACTTCACATTGCACCGCACAGAGCCCTGGCCCCCTCTCACTCCTGGGACACAGACTGGCGCAGCAGCTCGCCCCATAGCTGCGCACTGGGAGGAAACCTGCGGAGCAAGGGGGCTGCCAGAAGTCACGCCAGGCGCCTGGACTCCTGCGGGGCGAGGAGAGTTTGTCTGATGTCTTTAAATAAGGAGAAGCATTTAATCGAACATGGCCATTGTGTGAAATGAGTAGAATCACTTTTAATTAAAGGTATTTCTCTTAAGCTAAATTGCTAAGTAGAATTACCAATATTTTTGATAGTTATAGTTTTACTACAGTATAAGAACATTTTAAACTACACACTTAATCTTATTTTCTTTTATAATTCTATTTTATAAAATTAAATCCATTTTCATAAGGTGTATTTTGAACACAGATTTTGAGGGGCAGGGGAGACAGCTCAGTAGCCCAAGTACCTACCTGGGATGTTCGAGGTCCGGGCTCAATCCCTGGTACCACATGCCGTGCCAGCCACTGAGACCAGGCCTGGTGACACATGCCTATAATCCCAGCACTGGAGAGGCTGAGCTAGGAGGATCAGTATGAGTCCAAGTTCCGTAGTGAGACCATACATGTAAGTAAAACCAATTTAAAAAAAAAACATTATTTTTTTTTGTTTCTGCTAAACCAAGGGAATTAAATTTATATTGGATTCATATTTACACAAAAAACATATGGCTCATGTAGAAATCTGGTTTCAAAATTATTTAAATCACAGCATAATCATTTTATTTCAGGGTGTTTCTTTATGACCACTACAAAAGTTTGAGTTAACTGACACAGAATGTTAAACTTCAGCAGCTGATAATACCTTAGCTATATCATAGAACTTGAAACTTTTCATTGCCAGTACAGTACTAAGAAGTCCACGAGAAAATGAAGTCAGTTTTCTTACCACAAAACTATCACATCACAAATCTGGTATGCAAGCTTAAAGACAAAGAATCTTCTTCCTGGATTGTGTGGAATTCAAGAGTATCCACTAATGTTTCAATGCTATGTGACACAGTTTTTAAAGAAGGAGCTTTTCTAAAACAATTCTGAAGGCCATCAGTGGGTTCATCCAGCCACTAGGACTCAGAAGCTCAACAAGAAGAACTGAGTCTCACAGTTCTGTGACATGTCTGAGCATCAGGAATATGAACTTTGCTTAGCTGGATTTCTATGTTTAAAATGTTGAAATACTGGCACCCTTCCAAAGCTGCAAATGTAAAACCACATAGAGCTGTGTGCAGAGCCTTTATCTATTCAGAAGTCTGAGAATGGTGCCAGATGATTATGCAAATCGGGACAAAGGATGAAGACACAACACATGCAAATGCATAGTATACAGAAAGAACTATATGAACTCTAATTTTCCATAAAAACAGCAAATGACGCAAAGTTGGAAATGGTGGCAGTCTACACGTTTGGCTTCAACCAGGGAATCCTGACCCACAGACGCTGTCCTTGGTGAGGCAGCCATAACTGGTTGCTAAGAATTACACAAAATTCCTCATCATTAAATTGAATCATCACATCAAATTTCCCAAATCACTTTCTGAAAAGTAAACAAAATCAGTAAGAAACAGCTTTCAACTTTTCAGTATCAAAGAACTGTCAAACAATTTGCGTTTTTAATTTCTGACATTTTTATTGCTCTGGATTTTGAAATTAAATAAATTTCAGCTGATACAGGGTTGGTACAGCAGGCTCAGGGATGGAACTCTGGGCCCCTGAGTCTGCTTGCAGGCACTTTAACTACTGAGCTATTTGGCTGACCAAATCTTTAAATCTTTAAATAAGACCTTTATTCTTCATATTACTTCCTTTTATCCATTCAAAAACTTTAATGAATGCCCTGTATGTGCCAGTCATAGGGCTAACTAGTAGTTATATAGCTTAAAATATTTCTACTCTTGTGGAGCTTACAGTGTAATAGGAAAATGTAAAACAAACTATTATACAAATCATAATTTGCTTCTCATTGTCATAAATTCTTCATTTGTTGATTTAGAATTTATTTTTAAAAATGCTTTTCTCTCTATTTAAAAAAGAGTTAATAGCATACAGATTTTCTTTTGAACTATAAAAAGAAACCCTATTCTCATTTGCAAGGAGAGTTTCTGCATCAATATTTGGCTTTTGACAAAATTAAAATAGCTACTGATGCTGTACTTACATATTAGAGGTTTAGTAGCATACCAGATTTTAGAAGTATTTGAGATTTTATTTTATAATCAAACTTGAAGATTACTTCCTATAAGTGAAAAGTCCTTTTAATTGTTCAATAAATATATTTTAAAGGCCTTACTTGTGTATGTATTAGTCTGTTTTCTGCTGGTATAATGGAGCACCAAACACTGCATAATTTCTAAACAATGGGACTTCCTTTGGTTTTTGTTTCTAGAAGTTAGGAAATCTAAAAGCATGACCCTGGCATCTTGTGAGGGACTGTGTGTCATGTCCTAACATGGTGGAAGGACAAGGGAGCATGCAGAAACAGAAAAGGTGTGTGTGGATACAAGTTTTCCTTTGATCAGGAGCCTACACTCTCAATAATTAACCCACTCCCACCATAATCATGAGTTATGACGGTGATGCTCCTGTAACCTAATCGCTTCTTAAAAGCATCAATACTTAATACCACAATGGGAATTGAATTTCAGCCTGAGTTCTGGAGGAGGCTTTCAAACTACAGTAGCTCTATAAGGGATGTATATGTCTGCAGAGTGCAAAGTGGGTTCACAACCGTAGTATAAGACAGTCTATAAGAATATACTGGAGGGATTGAAAATGACAGAGTAAAGGCCAACAGCAAAATAAAGTCTTTCTGGGACTTTGAAATCCTGCCTGGAAGACAACAATTTAGTGAAGAGAAAAACAAAAGTAGAGCTCTGGGAATCAAGAAAGAACCAATAGGAAAACTAGAAAGTATAGACAGAGACTAAAAAGAACATAATGGTGAGACAAGAACAGAACGTGTTTGAACACCAAGTTTGGTTCCCAGGAGGTCCTGTCTTCAAACACAAAGGAAGGCCAGAGAGTTTGGCAGCCCAGCAAGGAGCAAGGGGCTGGCAGTACAGTCTTGAAAAAAGCCCTTGGTGTCTGTAAATTTTCAAATGCAGTGTAGAGTTTTATTCTGAAAGTCACTCCTTCCATATGGCAGGCTACAGATGGAGGAGAAATGTACCACAGTATCTGTCTTACTTGGGAGATCTATAATAAGAAGCCATTTTGGGAAGGGGTTTGCTGTTGAAGACTGAGCTGCTCTGGAGAAGCAGAACCCATAGAATAACTATATACTTCAGGGACTTTGCGGTCTCTGCCATGGCAACTAGGTGTGAGTTAGCTACAGGAGATAGTTGTGAAGAAGGGGCAGGCTCATGGCAGAACCTCTGAGGAGTTTAAGCAGTGGCGAGGCCAAGTTGTGAAGGACGTGGCAGCCCCACCCTCTGCTGTGAGAAGCCAGGCTGGTAATATGGCTTTCTGAAGTGGCTGGGTCTGAAGATACTGAGAATGGATTCATCACACCATTTGGTTCCCCCTCACTCTCTACTTGCAGGTCATACATGAGTGATCTGCTCACTTTTTCCATTTGCCAGTGTGATCAAGAATATGCTTCAGTGTGGACAACTGCCACATCCTGGGGTGTACAGATGGAGGGTCCTCTGAGGCGGGCAGCATCTCTAAAGCCCAAAGGCTATGAACAATTCTTTGGATTCTTTGGATTCACAGACGGGCACAAACCCTTGGAACTGCTGGAGTGAACACAACTTTGGGATAGACAACACTTCACTGGCTGACCACATGTAATGGGGAAGGTGGGTTTGGACTCACCATTCAGAAGTGGAGAGTGGGCATGGAGAAAAATTAGGCCTAGTTATGTCTCATAATTCCTCAATCATAGCTGGTGGATACCAATACCATAGGTCCTGAAAAAAATGCACTCAATCAAACACTCAGGGGACTTTTTTGAACTCATTTATTTCTTTTTCCCTATTTTTGTTGGAGGTGGGGTGGGGTGGTGGTTATCTTTTGTTCTTTTGTTTGTAATCATTTTATTTTCTTTTTCTTATTTGTGTTTTCTCCTTTTTTGGAGGGTACAATAAGTGTTTTAAGATGAGGTCTTTTTGTATGATTCAGGCTGGCCTTGAATTCATGGCTATCCTCTTTCCTCAGTTTTTTGAGTGCTGGGGTCACAGGCATGTGCCACCACACTTATCCTTATTTATTTATTTTTTTTACTTTTACATGATTCTATTGGCCTTCTTTTGTTCTTTAGTTGAACTTTGTCTGTTTTCTCATCTTTCTTTTGTTCTTAAAATTTAACTTCTTTCATTTCCTCTTCCCCACCCAGCATGTGAGTGAGACCGCCTGGGGCCCTCTGGATCCTCGTTCCAGGCAGTACCCAGGCTCAGTGTGTGAGTGGACCACCCAGGGCCCTGTTGACCCTCATTCCAGCCAGTACACAGGCCCAGAATGTGAATACAACCACCCAGGGTCCTCTGCATCCTCACTCCAGCCAGCGTGCACGCCCAGCCTATGAGTGGGACTGCCTGGGGCCCTCTGGATCCTCCTTCCAGCCAGTACCCAGGCCCAGCATGTGAGTGAGACCACCTGTCAGTCTACAGGATCCTCATTCCAGCCAGCTCTCAGGCCAG